TCCTGCCTTCTCTCTCTCTCTCCCTGTGCGTGCGCACTCTTATAAAGCATTGTGTTTTGTTTTGTTTTTTCTTGGTAAGAGACTTGCTTTCTGATGTCCAAGTATTTCTGAAGCTAAACCGTTTATGAAACTTTGTTTGGATTTTAAGTAGTGATGTCTGTCTGTTCTGGACTAAGCAAAGCAGCTCTAAGTGGAAGCTGAGTGTGAGCCCAAGGGTGAGCTGACACATCTTATCCAACACCCTTCATTGACAGATGAGGGTCTAAAGAGGTTGGCTCAATCACCGAAGTCCCTGTGACAATAGGTGGCAGGGCTAGGGCTACAGTCTAGGGCAGCTGACCCTCTGTCCTCTTTCTTGACAAGATGTTGTTTCACCAACAAGCCACTCTTTTGCAAACTGCATGCTGGTCCTCTAAATAAAGGTCTTTCAGCATGGTGAGCAGTTTTGTGTGGTCACTCTGGGCTTCCCCAGATTTCCTGTGATATGTGTGGTTCGCATTACTGTGAGATCAGCACCTAGGACATACCTATTTTCTTCAACAGGCTACATACAGGGTCTCCTGGCATTTTCAGGAAGATGGTAGCTCCTTATTCACCTTCTTGCATATTAAATCTAATCACACAGGACTGAGTCACATAACTTGTGAGGTCTGCCTTCCATGCCTTCCTCCCCTCTGGGAGTGTCTATCTCAAATTCTCCATCCTTCTCCTAAGATGGCTGGGACCTGTATCTCCTCTCTTGGTTTCTGAGTCCCTTTCATTCCTCCTATCCTCTGGTACTCCTAATTAGATCGCCCTATATTCTGTTAAAATGCATGAAATTTTTCTTTTAATGCATGAAGATAAAGACATACCTAGAATTAAAAATACAAGCAGTATTAAATAACAATGCTAGGTTCTCCCATTCATTTCAAGGCCCCCAATTCCCTTTCCACACTCTACTAACATCTGCATGATGTTCAAACAATGACAAATAACATTTCTCAGAACATAGCCCAGTCATTAAGTGATACATAATTGTATTTATATCATGGAATGCTATTTAGTAATGAAAAGGAATAACCACACAACTTGGATTAAAATCTCAAACATAGTGTTGAATAAAAGAAACTAGATATAGATGATTACATTACCAGATGATTCTATTTATATAAAGATTAGAACCAAATAAAAATAATACAGATGTTATAAATCAGCAAAAGGGGTTCCCATTTGTTTTGGGGAGTAGGTAACGGTTTGTAGAAGGAAGAAAAAGGTTTTCAGGGTCTGGCATTGTTCTAATTCATGACCAAGGGCTTATGCCATAGGTTTGTTCACTTTGTAACATTCCATTGAGTCACACACTTAGAATTTATGCATTTTAACACTTCATTACAAATTTACATTAAAGTAAAAGACGAGAATCATCAGGTTACCCACCTTAACTGTAATTTCCAGTCATTTTTAATTGATGCAGCTAAAGATGTATATAAGGAAAGACACATTTGAGAATATCAAGTAATTTACCCTGGAAACTCTATCTCTATCCATAGTGAATCCTTTTATGTATATAAATAGGATTTAAAGGTTGTTGAGTTTGATAGATATATTTTATAGTATATTATTACTTACGTTATCATTTGTAATGATCTTCCTCTTGACACACCAACAGCATGTTACTTTCACTTTCCTTTAATGCTTCCTTTGTTCTACTTTTTAGAACAGTTAACTGTGCAACTGTCTTCTCTCAACAAAATTATAGTCTAGTGTATAGATGACATTTTTGTATTTTCTTCCCTAAGATTTTTCTGTTCACAGCACAGAACCTTACACATAAAGTTATCAAAAATCAGGGAAGAGGTGTGAGGAGGGATTATTGGTGGAGCTGGTAATGTTCTAGTTCTTGATCTAAGTGTACATATTTTACTACAATTGATTAAGCATTGCAACTATTATTTGCATACTTTTTATATGTTGTCTTTTGATTAAAACTTGTAATATATATAATTTATAGTTCTAATTTGATAATACTGCATTGGTGAGAGGTTTTGGAAATAGTCTTTCTCATATATTGCTTGTGGGAATGTAAATTAGTACAATCTTCTTGGGAGGAAATTTGAACAAATTACTAAATGAAAAGGTCTTTGGCTGAACAATAGCCAATCTAGAAATATGCCCTCCAGTCTAGTATAAAAACTGTTATACATTCAAGGTCACTCATTGTCTATAATAATAAAATTGGTAACAACCAATGAAAGAACAAATAAGTAATTGTACTTCACACAATGGAATATTATTCAGCACTTAGTAAGAGGGAGACAAGTCTGTCTTTGCTGATTTGGAAGGATCATCAGTTAAAAAGCATGTACCACATACTTCTGTTTGTGTTAAATATATGAATATGTATTTGCTTGCACGCTCCTAGAATATTTCTAGATGGATACATAAGGAATAGGTATTACTGGTTGTTTCTTAGACAGGAAGGAGAGAAAGGAAACTTTTTTTTCACTGTACACTCTGCCCAATGAACATTTCAAATTTTATATGAACCTACAAGCTATTCAAAAAATAAATGTGAAGTTGATTCTTTGATGTGGCCTTTTCCTTACTCTCATTTAGGGACTTCCTACACATTCCATAATTAGTAAGTTTGCCTGTATTTTCTTCTAACAGCCTCCAAAGCCATCACATGGAGCAAAGGTCAGACACTTTTTCCATGATATCGAGCAAAGCAGACAGGTCACTGTGCTGCTGGTGACCTTATTAATTGAGTTTAGACCTCAAGTGAATTTGAACAGATTTTTTTTTTTTAATAAAACAGTCAATGGTTCTTTGTCCTTTTTAGTTTCCCTTGTCCCACAAGGCAGGAAGAGAGGGGAAGGCAAGTGTTCCACTTGTCTTTAGTCAAATTTACAAATGCATAAACTGGTCAAACTGGAAGGAGAGGGTATCTTGGGGGGGTTGTGACTTGACTAGCAAAGGAAGAGAATGCATTTGTCCTAGATTTGTAGCAAGCATATTTCAAGAAGCAAGGTCTTAGCTCAATGGCCTAAAGATTCAGAGTGCTTGGAGGCCCTTAGTAGTAAAATCTAACAATATAATCCAAGGTGATCCCCCAAGACATAAGAAAGGTCTCTGAGGAAACCAAGCCAGTTTCCAAATCACTTATGACCATCTGTAAAAGATGGAAGGGAGACCCAGGGCCAGGGATGAGGAGGTGGTGAGGGCAGTGTCAAGGATATGCAAGGATGAAACTCAGGTTTGCAAAATTTGCAATGCACAATTTGCTCAGGTCTTTTTTAAGGCATATTTTAGAGAGAGAGAGAAAAAAAAAAAAGCCAGCTTGAATGAGCTACTCCTGGTTATTGGATGATAAAGGGAAAGCAAAACCTGGAATTTGCAATGATTTCAACTTGCCTCTTCATTTTACCAAGATACACTATAGGCAGAGCCTATAATGACATGCTCAGATCTTGAGATTCTTGTCCCTCTGCTCTCTGTCTCATTAAGTCCCTGGAATCAGACTACCTGAATTCAACTGAAGCTGCCTCTTGGGAGCACTATGACCTTGATAAACTACTTAATCTTCCAGGCTTCCGTTTCCTTCTCTACCTTTTGTGAATACCAATACATGGTGTGGTTAATATTAGGATTATCAAGCACTTAAAGAGGGTCTGGTAATTAGAAAGTGTTATATCAATACTAGCCATAATATTAATGGCTGTTATTCCCTCCAATTTCTGAAGAATCATTTATAAGTGGGAAAGATTAAAACCAGCAAAGGAGTTATGTTCATGGTAATACATGATCAGTTCTGGCCACTGCCTTAGGTCTGATAAAAGAAATTACTGTCCCTCAAAAATGTCTGTCCAGCAACTTCTGGATGGGTGGAGAAGTAGGAGCTCGCTGTCACAAGTGGAGTTCAAGCCCAGGTGCATGGCCTGCAAGGAAGCTGAAAATATATTCTTGGTGGATTGGAGGTAGGGACCAGATGACCTCTAAGGACTCTGAAAATCCCAAAGGATATGATTCTTCCACCTCTGAGACCAACAACCTTGGGGTTACTTGGCCCCTATACATGGCTCTGTATCACCTTGGACATGAAGAGTACCATCTGTCCTGACTTTTGTTGTCAAGTGTAAGAGAACAGTCTGGTACAAACCTCTACTTTAAGAGAGGAGTAGAAACTTACAGGGGTGGGGGGTAGGGTTGGGGGTGGGGGAGTTGTATCAGTCAACACCACTCCCTCCTGCTTCCTAAACCTAGGGTAACCACACAGGGTCAGGATACCCTCAGCGCCTTGGCCACCCAGAAGGCAGGGAGGGCTGGTGCAAGGTCCTCTCAGTCAGCCAGGACTGCTTCCCTCTGTGGGGCACTTTCTAGGGTCTTTGATCTTTCCCCAGGAACTGGCAGAGGCTGCGCGTTTCCCTTCAGGTTTATATTCGCTCGGTTTATTTACTGTATTGCTTTCTCCTCGCTAGCTTTAAAGCCAGCACAGCAGCATGCAAAGGTATTTGAGAGCCAGGATCTCCGCTCTCGCAGCTCCATCAGAAAACCTGGTACAAAGGTGCATTTTACTGAGTTCTTAAGCAGTAAATATTGCGAAGACTGTGTCTTTTCCCAGCCAGGTAGGTGATCGGGAACCTAGATCTCGGCTTGCAGGTCAGGTCAGCGAGCCTGGCGCAGATCCCCAGCCCCAGCCAGATGCCCGCCCTGGCTCAGCCTGGTCTTCAGCGTCCGCCAGGGGGCTCGAGTTCGCGTCCCGCTCCCAGACGCCAGGCTCAACCTGGAGTTAGATCTCTTCCCCGGAGGGTCTCCAATTGCCTTCCTTTGCAAGGAAGGGACCCTGCGCCCCTGCGCCCAGCCCTAATCCTCCAGCGTTTCCATGCGAGCGGCTGGGTCTCAGCTCCCATCTGCACGCCTCAAATCCCATTTATCTTCTTAGCGCCCCAGACTTTGCCGGCCCCGCCCCCTCTTCCTCTTACCCTCCTCCACCAGCAAATCCCAGAACGCCGCCTCCACATTCCCCTAAGTGTGCTGGACAGACAAGAACAACCTTAGGGGTGTTCGGAGAGACCCCAAGCTCAGTGGAAGCGACCTAGAGGGTGCTGCCGAGGAAGGGTACAAGCAGGGTGGGGTGTAGTGGGGTGAACCAATGCAAGATTGCAGGGTCAGGACCAGGGCAGAGGGACCAGACCAGTCACCTAACTCCTGCCCTGCGCCTCTAGTGTCTGAAGTCGGCCCTTCCTAACGCCTCTTCACACACACCCCCCATACACCCCCCATTTAGGTCACCAGCTGGGAAGGGCTGAGCTGTCGCCCAGAGGTAGGGGAAGAGTAAATGGTCTTAGGGTCTGCCCCTCTGGCTTCCACTCGGTTGCAATTCCGTCCAGGGCTGGTCTTGCCTTTCTCCTTCCCCCAGCGGCCAGCCGGTTCCTCCCCGGCGCCCCCTCCCCCCGGAAAAGCCCTGCTGCGTGTACCCGCTTCACTCCTGCACGCCGACCTCCCAGCTGCTGTCCTGCCTCCTCGGACTCCTCCACGGTTCCCGGTCCAGCCCCCTCAGCCCCCCACTGCCTCAGCTCGGCCAGGGGATTCACCCGGGCCGCGCCCCCCAAGTCTCCCAGGAGACGCCCTTTTGCAGAGCGCCCGGGACTTGCTGAAACTTTGCAGGCGCCCGCGGCGAAATGGGTTTCATCCGAGGCTCCTTGCTCGGGCTCTGGCTCCTGGCTTCCAGCCTCGGACTCCGCGCTTCGCCCGGGGAAGCAGCAAGCCGAAAGCCAGGTAAGACGCTCCGTGCACCGGGCACCGCCTGCCCCGAGCGCCGGGGTCTGGGTGGCTGCTGGGACGCTGGGCACAGCACCGCGTCTAGCTCTTTCTCTCTGCCCTGACCGGCGTTGGCTTAACGAGGGGCATCTCGGCTCTAAGCTGTGAAAAGACGCGAGCCTCGCCCTCCCCCAGCCCAGGCTGTTCCAGGGATATTTGTTTGTTAAAAGAATGATCTATTTTCCAGGCGCAGCCGAGGTGGAGGGCTCTGTATCTGACCACAGACAGCTGAAGTTGGGGCGCCATCCTGCTGTAGTCTCAATTACAGAGGATTGCAACTGTGCACAGAAGTCCAACAGTTCTTGCTGTGTCTCTAAACATTGAATTCATATTGTCCAGGGCCCAGCCATTTCCTGTTAAGTGTCTGAAGGTTTGGCCTGGCGTCCACTTTGCCCATCTCCGGTTCTGCCCACGCACCATGTAGGAATGTCCCCTCTGCGTTGGGATCCTTTTCCACTCAGGGACCATCTTCTCAGAAAGGAGTGCCCCTTGGGCTAGTTTGATCGTGTTTTGAACTCCCGTCTTTTTGAGTTAAACAAAGATGTGTGGCCTTGTAGGCTATACAGAGAATTGGTGAGAACTTGAAATAAGTTCACTTGCGTTTCCTCTAGCTATGCAGGTAAAAAGTCCTCGTGTATTTTTGTTTCCTTTCATTTAGTCTGGGTTGTGAGATTATTCAAAGTGGGACATCCTCCACAATAAAGTTCTAAACATAGCATCCCCGATAACGATTTTTCTTCTTCTTTGCTGAGACTATATTTAGAATTCGGAAAAATCTGTTTTTTCTTAGTTTACTTTGTAAGCAAAGTTGTCTTATGGGATTAATTATATCTTATGAACAATGGAAAGCAATATAATTTTATTTGAATGCAGCCTGCAAAACTTTGCAGAAAGTGCTGTTTTTCTCCGCAAATAATATTTCCATAAGAAAGAGACATCAGGGGAAATTTATCAGACGGCAAAGAAAATAATATTGGCAGGTTCCCATATGGCTTTGTAAATATTTTCGCTGAACAGGGATCTTTCCATTTGGAAGAATGACTTGTAGCCTTTCAGCTCTGGGGACACCCTCACTCCTCAGGCTGTGTCTATTTTCACCAGAGCCTTGCTATCTGCCTTGAAACTTAGAATCATTATCACAACCTGCAGCATGCTGAAATTATAAGCTATTCTATTTCCACTGTTCAATTCATTTTGGAGATAATAGCAGCAGTCCAGGGTAATATTACATTAAATTGTTTCTCTTCCTACATGCGCATACTCACATTTTCAAGGATTTCAGTGCAAGGCTTCTTTCTAACATTTCTCCTTAAGATAACCACATCAATTGCATTCTGCAGATTTATTCACATAAAACCACCTCATCACAATTTTTTAAAACAATTCATTGTTATTTCTATAGTTCTTAAGAGTGACAGCATATGCAATGTGATTTTAAAGCTTGATTCCCATCCATTTAAGGAGAAATTTTTTGAAAAGTGCTTCACACAAATTTGTGGTATAAAGCTGCTCATGTGGCTCACCATGTTTTCTTTCTTTCTTTTTTTGTTTTTTTCCTAAATATATTTTCTACCTGATTCACCCAGAGTCTCATTTTGATATTCACACCATGAATATGTCTGCTGGCCTCTTTGGTTTTATGTGAAGCATAGATAGGTCTTGATGGTGGCAATTCTTTCTTTTACTATGCGCTTTTACTTTGGCATATTAAATACATCAACTTTGAGGTCGAAGGCGTGTTTGCCGAGATTCAGCCTAAAAGAGTTTTTCATTCTTTTATAATTTTATCCAGACACTGACTTTCAGGTCAGAAAGCAGCTCAGATTAAAATGACAGCTACTTCATAAACTTCAGAGTAAAATTTCCTCCTGGGCTCATTTACATCCCTTGGATAGACTAGTTTTTGATCCGGAAAATTGGTCCAGATTAAAAACTGAAAGTGCCCCGGTTGGCTCTGATGTGAACAGCGACCAGCTAATTTGTAATCTTCCCCAGACACCAGCAAATCCTGCTAGTATCCATATGGGAGTTTCTTTGTGCCTTGTATCCTCAATAAAAATTGGATTGTGTGCAATACTTTGAAGGTGGCATGGCCACCGTGGAAGCATACTTGAACAGTCCTGTTTCAATTGGATGGCTCTATCTGCCTCCCTAAACCCCTAAATCTACATTTGATAAGTAGTTTTGTTGGGGAAGTCCTGAATTCAAAATCTACCTGAAAATTCTCCATCTCCATTTAACTCAGGTGAGGAAAAAAGACAAGTAGATGCATTAATTATGAGTCTACTTTGGGTTGGAAAGAGACAACCTTTCGCTTCTCCCCAAATTAGTTTCTCCTCTGTCCCTGAATGTTCATAAGGAAAGCTCTCCATTTGCTGAGAGTCACTAGAAATGGCAGTTTTCAAGTTGAGCCAAATTAAATAGCTAACACTTATGAGGTGCTTGCTGCACTGTTCTAAGACCTTGACACCTACAGACTTAATCAACCCAACAAACCTGTGAGGTAGGTACTATTATTACCTCTGTTTAACTGAAAGAAAAACTGTAGCTTAGAAAGATTAAATATCTCACTCAAAGTCACACCATTAATAGGTGACGGAGGGGAATCCAGGCTCTGATAATCAGAACTAGAAACAGATTCCTTAGCAAACTGATTCAGAGACTGAACAGGGGACTCCCCCAGGATAGGACCCTGTTGCTGTGTGTGGGGAGGCTGAGCTCCCCTTAGACATTTGTACATGAGATTACAGCTAGGCCTCCAAAGAAAATAGTGTGAAGATCCCAGGCTGGGTTTCTGGAAGCTCTTGTCCACTGACCTCATCCACAAGAATCAGAGGGTGTAACCTGACAGGGAAATGATGAACCACTTGCTCTCTCTTGATTGAACTCCTGGGGGCTTTGCTTGTGAGGCCAGAAGGTCCAGTAGTGCTGGAAGTAAAAAAGGGGTGTCTGAAGACTGGTAAGGAAAAGCACCTGGCATCTCCCCAGGTCGTCACGGTATGCAGACCATTTACTGGATCCTTCATTCTTTTTCAGAGCAAAATTAGAATCGTAGACCTGGAAGGAAGTGAAAAGCCTGCAATTTACAACTGGGCCGAGGGGGATTAAGTGACTGTCCAAGTGACATCAGAAGCTGAACTGGAACTAGCACCCAGGCCCTCTTACATGGCCTTTAGAACTTTACCCTTATATCAGCCTCACCAGCAAGTGTAGGGGAGACTCTTGCAATGCTGATGTGGGCCAGGAAGAAGAGAAAGGGAAATCCAGATAGAGCTGGAGCCAGCGTGTGACAAGACACACACATTCCCATCAGCAGACTAGTTAGCTCTCTGGCATAGAGAGGGGCATAGGATGCCAAGAGGGCCCAGCGTTCTCTCTGGTTTTCCAGTTTGCCTGTGGTGTTGGCGCAACAAGGTCAGTGTAGGGTTCAGAGTTCAGGGTTTTCTCTGGAGGACCTGCAACTTCACAGTAATTTAAGGAGTTGCCGGTCTCTGACCTTTGCCTGTCCACTTCCTCAGCATTTCTCTACCTGCAAGACTGGACTAAAGTGGAGATCCAAGGAAATTCAAAGAGGAAAATTGAAAGCCTGAAAGGGCAGTTAGTTTGTGAGTAATGTTCTCTATTGGTTGATGCTGCATACCTGTGCCTCTGGCTCGATTCTGCTGATGCTAATATTGAAGCTGATAATCTTAGAAGTTGGAGGTCAAGGGTTATCTTGTTCGGCTTCCTCCCCCTACCCTGAGCAACACTGGTTATGTCATCACTTATGGCTCTCATTCAAGTCCCCTTCCCAAAGCATGTAATTTGGGGGAGGGTCATCTCTTGTGGGTGTTCCTCTATCTCCCTTTCCAGCCAGCTGTGCTCCACCACAATGCTCATTTAGACTGATTGACTTCTGGGGAAAACCAAAGCTTGTAAAGGCCACCAGGGAGAGATACAGAGAGGAGCAAGATGGAATGGAGATCTCCCCCAACTAGCCACTCATGTCCCGTGCTATTCAGGCATCATGGCCTGAACATTTTCCTCTGAAACATGCCCCTCCTCTTATCAGTCCTCCTACCTCCCATTTATTCCATATCAGATCTAATCCTGATAAAGAAGTTCCCATCTCTCTCTCTCTCTCTCTCTCTCTCTCTCGATTCTTCATGAGATATAAAGTGATAGTGTGGTCAAGGTCAGAAATAAAAGTAATGTAGCATGAGGCAGTACTTGTTTCTCAGAATTCTTTCTCATGGAAGAGTGACTTGGCTGGAAAGGAACTGAATGGTGTTTTTTAGTTCTCTTTTCTTATCCAGAGCCCAGAGTTTTAATTACCTTAGAATTCTTTGGGGAGCAGTTGTCCATCTGTTCATGGGTTACTGTAGCTCAAAAGTGGTCCAGGGACCTGGGGCTAGATTTCTGGCAGACAGGGACTCAAGCATCTGAGACCAAGGTGGGACCTCAGCTTCCATGGGGTTATCCTATGACTGTCCTGTATTCTGCTGCCTCACCCACCTAAACAGGACTGATTTCTCCCAACTGACTGACTGAATGACATGATATCTTGATTGTAACACAGCATATTTTGAGCTGCTCAAGATCACTGCCACTTGTTTTGGCCACTGCATGTCAAGATACAGGTATTGACTGGAAGTGCACCTGCAATTTCTGGGATAGTAAAAGAGTGGGAGCTACTGCAGATTCTAGCTGGCTATTTGTAGGGCAACCCCCTACCCCCAAACCCTGTGTTTTGTTTATATTGATGATGGACTTCCATTTTGAAGAAGGATCCCAGCCTTCTCAGACTTCTGAAATGAGTTGGAAGACAATTGACTTCTTAAAGATCCATCGATCTCATCATGGATCAGGGAGGGAGAAAGAGGGAATGAGGTAGACCTTTAATCAAATTTCTATCAGTAAAGTGCGCACTTTCCACAGCTAGCTAAGAGCAGATCTCTGCTGACTTCCAGGTACCTTAA